TTCTCACCATAGGTTGCCAACATAATTGCCTTCAATGTCGTACCATTATGTTTCTAGGTTTGTCAGCACCATACCCATGCTTGTGGGTTTCACCAAAGTGGTACACGTCCAAGACCTGCATCACTTTGGGCTTTCCTCCCACATTAAGCTCTCCCACAGGAGAAACTGTTTTAGCCCCCAACCTAATTTCCTTCAGAACCCGTCAGGCTAAGGGTATCCAAGGACACATCCAGCATGTTACCACTTCGCCCCAGTCATTGGCCATTCAGTCTCCCAAATTGCCCAATCTTGTATATACTTCAATAAAAATATTTTCCCATGTATTCTTTGTAATGTCATTTGGAGAAGTCCCATTTACGCCTACATTGTGATTAAAACCTCAGATCCAATCATATGAACTGAAGAACATGTTTTTTGTTATTTTTTATTGGAGGGAAAAAGGGAAATAACTTGATTAAGATCGGTACCCCGTGGAACTGAAATATGCGAACCCTCAACAGGAATCCTGATACTGTAAACATCTGATTCCATAAACCAGCATCACAGCCCTGAACCGTGACCATCCAAGCCTTCTATGAGGGGTACATCAACTCGCCACGAACAACAGTTAAAGTCCTGGGCCCTCTTGCACAAAGCAGCCTTAGCGCTAAGATGACTGTAACACCCATACTTTAACATAGGCTTATGATAGTCTTAGTGCTAAGATTGCTTTGTGCAAGTGGGCAAAGGTACAGGTTGGAGCATGCACAAGCTGTGGATACCGTTGGCTACGGAACCATGGGTTCTACAAGGAAGCATCTGGTGTAAGCGACAGTCACCAGGGAACTGTTGGTTACATCAGACAATATTGTACAAGAAGGTTTGGGGCAGCTGTTTCCACCAAAGCCATGGCTCTCTGATGTACAAGCGGTCTCAACTGGACCATGGACAACAATGGCTTCCGGGTTACAATGACAGATTGGTCTGAGATGTTTTGACTGTTAGTCTCATACTTCAAACCAAGCCATATGATACCTGAACTACAACCAAAGGTGGAAGAGGAGCAATCATCCCAGAGTCCCAAAATGCCTCGGATTTTATGGTCCATCATCTTCATCATCCACCTCCAAACATCATACCCTTCATGAAGCTAATCATCAATCTGGTGAATGATAGCCTTTATAAATTTAATAGCCGATGACAGGTTGCTGGAAAATTAAAGACTGGTTTGAAAAGCAAAACGTGTTAAATGTTGTCCAATTTGTATGTAGCCACATTTGATCGTACATAGATAAAGTACAGTGCAACAAAATGTTTTATTTGATAGCTTTATGTAAACTGTAAGCGACCAAAATACTTATATCCGAACAACATCATGACAGATATATTAGAATTGTAGGATTATGTATAGCGTGACACATTCGATACGAAAACGTACTTGTTTTATGTGGCGAAAACAAATTTTCCGCTACATGACGTCAAAACACAAGGGCAATGTCCACATGTACAAAGACGAAAAGGGGCATAACTCCGCAATTATTAACCTAAATCATCTGCTTTGGCTCAGGACAATACATTCTAGTATATTTTTGTTTATGTGTATCTACATAGTTCCCACACAGCTATCGATTTTAATAACCACATCAGTTCCTTTTCTGGGACATTGAATGATTGTCATCCAAAATGTCCTGAAGACATATTTCAGATTTTGTTATAATATAGAAGAATGACCTATAGAAATCCTCAAAGTGCCCTTTGGCCAGTTGAAACCAGATACTTTTAGCTTATTTCCCAATTTATAAGAAACGTTGAAATCGGTACCACAAAAAAGTAACAGTATAATATTACCACTTCTATTCAGTAATAGTAGAGAAAATTTCGAATAAAAGAACAGAATGTTTGGGTTTATCACTACAACAACTCCACACCCCAACCCCATCCACCAATGCACACCATGACCCGCCTCCACCCATGAATCTCCAATGGTCAGCCTCTATTTTGAAACGTGCACCTGATGCAATCTTTAGCTGTCATTGTTCCGCCCATTAAACGATAAAATTCAAATGTAAAACAAGTAGTTGTCCACACATGAGTTATACATTAATAAATATATAACGTGACAAATTTCCTTCAGGTATACATTTACTTTGATTTCAGAAATGAAGTGCATGTTTTATTCAACCTATCTATATAAATTTGCCACAATCAATATGTCACAATTATCCAAAGGAAATATGTATATGCTGCAGTGTGTTACATTCACAAAGCATCTTATAGGAAGAATAACACGATGAATGTCAATTTCTATGATCAAACAAACAGCTGATTATTATGAGGTTCATAATTCTATGGCATTTTAGATTATATTAGTAACAGTACATGTACCCATTTTGCAGCAGTGCATTATTTTACTAGGTGAGACGATATTGAAGAGATATTCAAATTATAATTCAAGATTGAAACAGTAAACTGCTTCATGAACTGAATGCGTTGTGTACTAGTTCTCCCGCACCACAAAGAAAATAACAAATATGTACAACAATGTTGATGTTGACGTATACTAATATGACATCACTACTGGTAACCTCCCGTCATAACATAGCAAGTTCACTGATAGCAGTATGCGAAATGTTTGGAGTAGGTTTTACTGTGATGCTGGGATCACATACATACATAAATGAGTCATGTAAGTTATGTAATCAGAATCCATCTGAAATCAACAAGTTCTGTTTGTTTTTCTGTTTCCATTCTCGCCTTGATACAACGTGGAAAGGCAGACCAATTCTGTCGTCAGTGTGCGTGATTTTGCGTCAATGATGGCGTCACGTTGAACGATTTCTGTTGACTTTTCCAAATAAGTATCTCGACTTTAATTATTAATTCCTCAATTGTTGCAACGATTATCTTCCCATGCATATTCGTAATAATCTGAGCTAATGTATGGAACAAATTGACAACTGAATCTCTCGGAATAGTAGAAAATATTAAGTAAAACTAGACGTTTGCTTTGTTTTATTTTTTAAATGAGAAGGCCCACTTGTAGGTTTCAGAGCACAGGGTTTGGTTTCACATTTGAATAATTTGGTTGATTTCATTTGGACCGTTTGTAGTAGTGACTTAGACAAAATGACAATTGATTCTTAATGGTATGAGGAATTCAGGGATGTATGTATCACAGCTGAGTGTGAAATACATGTGATGTGACAGGCATCTCACCTGACGCGAAAAGAACCGTGATTTTGCAACGCTATCCAACATGGAGGATCGGTCCAGGTTTTATGTTTTGAAAACAAATATAGGGTTGTTGGAGTCTTTTCGGAATGATGATTGGTGTTTTGACAAAGAGCAGACACCCAATGGTTTTGTAATTGAACTTCTCATGTAGCTATACCTTATTTGAATAAATAATCACATTTGAATTGGTAACATGCAAAAATGGCAATATTTTCGTTGTACACTATTTTCAGATGTCGTTAGTGATATATATGCTTTGCCTGAAATAGTTGTTAATGGCATCACATAATAGATACTTTCCCACAGAATCTAAAACTGTGACGTGTATTTGTGTGTATGATGTATTTTAAGTTTTAGAAACATATTATGGACCTAATCTCATCTTGGTCTACACTACAGTGTACAGTCACATAGCTTGTCGTTTCAAATAACACTACGAACAGTTTAACCTGGAGAATTACAGTGGTATTCGACATACCTACTTTTCATAGGTCCTTTGAGTGGTGACACTTAGGATACCGAAAAGGAGAAGTTACCGACTTGAATCGGAGTCGCCATTTTTGTTTACAAATTGACGTGTAAATGTCACGTGATTTTCATACGCGTTTTGATTGGCTGCATTCATACAACTTTTCGCATGAAAATAGAGCATGTCCTATTTCGTACAACTCACGTCCAACAAGTTGCATACATCAAAAGTTCGACCGTCTTGCCCGTTCACACGATGCAATGAGTTGCATACAACAAATTGTATACAACTAGTTGTACCCTGTGAATGCCCCTTAAACTGAATAACAAGCTCATGCTAATCTTTTGGCTGTCATCACTTTGGTTGACAAGGACTACTAAGAATCAAGGATTTGAAGTCTGTTAACAGACAGATGACTGAGACCAGTGCTTACATCAATTGGTTTTTGGCAGGAGTGTGCCATGTAATACTTCCTATTCAGGAAACGAACAGTGGCATGCCGGGAGTGGGGATTTGTCATTTTCAGATGACTCTTGGAGCCCCTTGGAAAAAGTTTTGATTATGTGTGTTATAACAATCCCCAAACACTAAAATTAGGTCTAACCTTTGAGAACATTAATTTCTGTTATCACTTACATGGTCAGATAAACATATCTTGTTAATTTTATCATGATAACTCCTTGTTGAGCAAGACGAGTCAATCAAACGCCATCTTGTTACCATCAAATTTTAGAGCTACTCCATTGCCGTCAAGTTAACATGATCAGTCACATTACATTACACACAAACATTGAACAGCAGCCTATACAAAATTAATGCGTACAATTGTTCTGTATCAAAATTATCATCAGTTCAAGTTTGATCAGAATGTGCTTTCGTGAAAAAGTTTGTTTTGAGGTATCTTACCTTGTGTAGCTTAATTCGTAACATAATTTGACGTCAAGTAGCAAATACTTTGATGTGTTCAGTGGGCTTTGATCTTACTTGATTACTTCATTGTGCGCGTTGTTACATATTGTTTAGGGGCTCAAAAAAATAGGTGAGGCTCAAAAACAGGTCATGTGGGGACATATATATGTGAAATATATTTTGCGTTTTATTAACTTGAACAGGAACATTTATTGATGACTTCATTGTCTTCTGTTTTTATTTGGAGGTCTGTTTTGGGGTGGTGGTGAAAAGCTTGCTTCAGTTGTTGCAAGTAGTTGCAAACAAATTTCCACTTGATATATATATTTGAAAAGTTTAAGTTACCAGCATTTGTTTTTGTATTTAATATGAATATTATTAACTGATCATGTTTTATTTTCTTCCACAGGAAACGTTGGTGGATCATTTACCATGGATGAGAAACTTGGCATTGTGATAACTTCTAAGGAACTTGATCGCATGAAACAGTCCAACTATGAACTTATTGTCATGGCAAAAGATAAGGGTGCTCCATCGTTAAGTTCAACTGCTAGGATCTCCATTGCAATAACATTGTCAAATAACTCCCCTCCCAGATTCAAATTGGTTGAGTATGCAGTTGAACTCAAGGAGAACCTGGCTGCTGGTCATATTGTAGTAGTCATACAAGCTGAAAGTCAATCCTCCTTAGTTTATGAAATTACAAGTGGAAATCACTTTGGTATGTTGATGATTAATCCAAATTCTGGTGTTATTTCAACAAAGACTGTAGTTGACTATGAAGAACATCACATCTTTAATTTGACAGTCACAGCCACAAATATAGTTGGAGCTACATCATCAACAACAGTTATTATACATGTTACAGATGAAAATGACAATAAGCCTGACTTCCTTCAAAAAGTATATTATGGAAATGTAAGTGAGATGGCAAATTTAAATAGCATGGTGTTTACCAGAGAAGGATCTCCCCTTGTTGTCCAAGCCCAAGACAAAGATTCTGGCGCAAATTCTCGACTGAAATATCAAATCACAGATGCCAGGATCAGAGCCTTCTTTGACATTGATTCCAGCACTGGTGCCCTGAAAACAAGATCTTCACTGGATCATGAAACAAATAGCATGTATAACTTCACAGTCCAAGTTTCTGATTTAGGTCAACCAAGCCTTGTTGCTGACATTGCAGCACAAGTTATCGTCTGTGTGTCTGATGTCAATGATTCACCACCCAGATTCACTAATCATACCTTCACTACAACAGTTCTTCTACCAACATACAAGGATGTTGTTGTCATTCAGGTGACGGCATTTGATCCTGACACAACCGTTAATGCTCCTCTTTCATACAGCATTCTGGATGGCAATCAAGGGCATCACTTTAATGTCAACTCTGAAACCGGTGAATTGTTTGTTGAAGATGAAACTAACATGGATAAGAAATATAGCATAACTGTTCAAGTTAGTGATGGTAAATATGACACCACAGCTTCTGTCATTATAACTGTGCAGAACACAGTTGATACAGGCCTGCATTTCTCCAGAAATGTGTATACTGCCACAATAGAAGAACAACAAGAAGCCTCTGAAGTTCTGTTAGCTGTGATGGCTATTGGTCATAGATTGAATGAACCATTGGAATTTACTCTGTTGAACAATAGAGCAATGTTTTCAATCATGATGACATCAGGTGTCATTGAGACACAGGGATACCCTTTTGACAGGGAGCTTGTTGGAAACTACACCCTTGTTGTTGAAGTGAAAGACATCAGGGGACGATTGGCACATTGTCTTGTTATTATCACAGTGACTGATATCAATGATAATGCACCAGTATTTGTAGGCATGCCCTACAATTCTGTTGTGTCTTTTGATGCCTCTGATGATAGAGTAGTGAAAAGGGTAAGCAATTCACCTACCATATAATTGAATTCACTCTGAACTGGATCACAAGGATTCCAATCAATCTGTGTACACAGTTCAAAATATAAGTTTTGTCTTTGGCTTCTGGTAATGACAGTTATGTTCAAAGTATGTATGTTCAATGTTCAATGTTAGGTTCCCAGGATTTCGAATACTGTAGAAACAAATCTCTTGGATCCCAGGACCTCTCTTTATTTTGAATACTGTCTATATGGCAAACAGACGTTTTACCAGTCACAAGAAATACACAGCTGATTTGTACAAAGACTATCATTGGCAAGCAAGGTGTTAGAAAAAAGGGGGATCCTGGGGGTCCTTTGAGATGACTACATTTGACATTTGAATTAGGAATCTTTCTATATCTTCAATTCCCAGCTCACCTGACTGATATCAAGTGTGCATATGTCTTGATTCGTCTGTCATCCTGTTTGCATACATTTTAGACATCTACTGTTAACTTTTGACACAACATGGCCTAGGAATGTTTTTGCCGTCACTGGTGCCTCACTTTCTTTTCAAACCATTCAGTGCTTGGACATCTTAAAAATGTCATATCATGCATATCTCCTTTGTCACCCTCTGTAAAATGTTTTTGACACTTTGACCAGTCATGTCAAAGGTCAAGATCCTCCTCTTTGTCCACAAGAAATTGCCATTTTCACGAAGATCCCTTTTACTGCAGATGTTTTAAAGTTTTATGCATGCTATATTATTTGAATACATGTCAGGACAAGGCCATCCTCAAGGTCATAGCAGTTGATTTCTGAATTGAATCACGAAAGTAAACTTAGAAATTGGTATGTTAAAAAAAAATTCATGAAATCAGTAAATAACCACACAAGATCATTGAAAGATGAACAATTATATTGACATACACAGGACATTTGGACAATGCTCTTAAATTCGCCCAAAATGCATTTTTGGCACAAAAGATATCCTTTTTGAAATTGCCAGACTGAGGAAACTGAACTTTGGCATGTATATTTCTCCTTTTAATGACAAATGTTCAAATCATTAGATTTTATATTGTTTGTTTTAAATCTTCAGTATTTATGCAGAAAATATATGGATGTAAGTGCTGACAGTAACTTTTAGGTGCCTGTGTTTGTTGACACTTTAAACTGTTGACTACACATCCAGGTCATTTTATTTACTCTTGATAACAATACCAAGGTTTATTCAGGTACAAGCCTTTGATCTTGATGACGGCAGTAATGGCCAGGTAAGATACAGCATCACTGATGGGGGCCAAGGGAAGTTTAGCATCAACCACATCACTGGGGACATCACAGTTAAAAGACTATCCCCAACAGATGAAAACAGGATTTTTGAACTCAAAATAGAAGCTCAGGATATGGGTAAGAATCATTGTATTTTATAGAGCTCTTAGAATAAGATATTTATTTCATACCCTTTCCTCATGAAATGAGGTATTGATCCTATCAGGGTTAGCATATTGAAAACCTTGTTTGTAGACATTATTCCATCTTTATTCAAAATGAAGTGAAATTTGGTATATGTGTTGTTAATTGTGGGACTGGATGCATTTGTTTGTTTTTCACTGTTGGTAAAGTTTAGTGCAGCCAGCATATCAAAGGGAAGCTCAGTGTCTCCGCCGACTCCCTTGTCAGGAAGGGCAAGGTCCTACAAACAGTGTGAAGATTCAATGTTCAGGGATTGTTCTCTCTATAGGAGATTTTGGGGCACAGGTGGCCCAGTCGTCTAGGGCGCCGCCATTTGCTGTGCAGAATTGCGTCCCTTGGGCATGCCAGAAGCCTATGATTGTGGGTTCGAATCCTGGTTCGCCCCGATACCATACCTTGTGTCTCAAATTTGACCTACCTTTAGAATACAGTACCACAAATTTTTCAATCACGTCACAATATCCTATGTCATAATTAGTAGTTTTTTGTTGCCAGTCACACCGGCAAAACAATGACCTGTGATGTCAGGGGTCATCGAGTGTGTTTAAGCTCCTCTCAGTGATCTATAATGTCTACACACGTCATTGAATAAGCCCAGCAATGTTGAGAGTTTTTAATATTTGTTAAATAAAAATAGCCTGTGGAAGTGCATTTTATTGCAAGCCTTAGTTTATGAAAGCACTTGTATTGTCAGTATGTTTTTATTTCAATTTTTCCCTTAATTCCAGTTACTGAAATGATTATAAATGGGATTCATTATTTTCCATTATTATGCACAGGTATGCACTTTATTAGGTTCCGGTATATCATATTGGCGCTGAACACATTCAAATGTTGCCGGTGTTATTGTAAGTTATCCCAAACTCTATCCTTAGCCCTTGGATCCCCTATACGATCTATCAACCCTAGATATACTCTCAATTGGATAAGGTACCTGTTTAGTGGCTATTATAGATTCTGTATCGGCTCCTAGTATTCTTCACAGAAAAAACATTAAGAAAGCAGGATGAAATGGTTAAGTGTTGAATATTTTGGCAACTTGAAACTGTCCTGAAACATTCACACAAACCACTTTCACCCGCTACATTTTATCAGTGATGATTCAAAAGCGGACTCACCCTTGTAGTGTCACTAGCCATGCTTGTGCCTCCCTTATTCCTTACTATGATCCACATTATCTTTACAGTGTTCCCTACCTTACTTTTCTGTCACAAAAATCGCCCGACTAATTATTAAATACCATGTCATTCATGAGGACCTGCAAGTTCGACATCTGACTCCTGACCCCGTTTTTGGTTTGCGCCATATCATTCTCACCACTCTGTATCGTGTAGATTACAGAATGGGATGAGTGTGCCAAATGGCATCGGGATCACTCGTAAGTGACCGACCGTTGACTAAAGTCACCATGCCTACCCCTAACCTTTGTAAGTGTCCATAGCCTATTTGACCCTTTTCGTTCAGTTCTGTAATGTTGTTGGCGTGACTAGGCAAATTTGCACTTAGTTTCACAGTGTCTCACAAAAACTGGTTGCTTGTCTTTGAGACACGTGGCCTACGGCAGAGATCGTACTGTATTCTAAAGGTGCTTCAAATTTATGTGCCAGACCCTCTGGTGTAAGCCTCTGACTTTCCTTAAACTGGACAGGCATGTTAGTTTAGTTGTTCAGCTTCCATCCATACAGCTGATACTCCTCCATGTCCAGCATTGCCATGGTCTCCGTTCTTCTTGGTTTTAATCATGGTGTATAGTCGACGCCTCGTCTGTCTTTCCGTCCGTAATCATGTCGTTTCTGGATCACAATTCGAAAACTGTTAAAAAAAATTGGCAGATATATCAAACAGATCCTGAAGTGGTACCTTTTGCTATTTACAGATTTTTGGCGTTTGTATTTTTCTCGATTTCCATGGAAACAATTTGTACTAATTCTAAAATAAGGGGATGGATTTCATTTCCAAAGCACTCAAAAAACATTTAATCTCTTTCAAATATCTTGGCAGATATATCAAACACATCCTGAAGTTATGCATTTTGCTATTTGACGATTTTTTTTCTTGTTTATTTTTCTCCATTTCCCCTAAAAAATGTTGGCAGATATATCAAAAACATCCTGAAGTTATGCATTTTGCTATTTGACGATTGTTTTTGCATGTTTGTTTTTTTCGTTTCCTTGAAAACAGTTGGACGGTCTCGAGAATGGGTGGATGTTGTTTTCAGAGCAGAGCTTGAAAATCATGAAATAATCTTTTACAAAACATACCAGGTTTCCTGAAGCTGTGCCTTTATTTCATTTTTTTCCATGGACACAAATTTTGTGTTCGATACCTAGTTGGCCCATTGGGCTTATTTTAGAAAAGTGGGGACCGGGGGATATGTCATCTTCTGATGACTATTATTTTAGATGTCATGTTGCCTGTTCTGAGCCATTTATTCATACGTCAGTGGTAAGCTAGATATATTATCATGGCTTGTAATAGTTAAGTTGCATGTCACAATTGGGTGAAGTTGTCTACTTGTAAAGCTGATGTCAAGTATCTGATATTGTTTACTTACTCTCCATACAGGTCGCAAGCCCCAGAGGTCGGATGCAATTGTCCCAATACATGTTGTTAATCGCAACAGTCCTGTTTTTGATAAGCAAATATACAACGTGAGTGTGTTTGAGAAAATCGCCATGCACACACCTGTCACCAACATCCAGGCCCTCAGTCCACAGAATCACAAAATCATATATTCCATCAGCGAGGGAGACAAATATGGTGACTTTGCTGTCAATTTTGACACAGGTAAGACAACTCTTTTTTGTTGCCCTTCAGATTGCTTCTGTGTGACTTGGATATGGTTGGTTAAGGGACAAAATTACTTTCATACTTCTTGCTTGGATGTCTGGCAGCTTCGTTTTGCGCTATTCCTGTTTGCAGGATACCCATGGTACGTTGGCGTTGATTTGCAGCAACCCTGTGTTTTTCAGCAAGCAATGCTTTCAGTGGCATTGCAAAGGCATTATTTACGGTTTATCAAAAGTGTTTTTACGAGCACCTGATAGCTAAACAATCATTTGAAATCGTGTATCATGCTTCCAACAAACACACAAACATCAAAATTGTGCGCTGTGCATAAACATGCACATACAAATTGTGAATTTGGACATGCATTCTTGAATGTGTATTGAAAGATACATTATTTAATTTTAGAATCAATTTATGTTTATTAAACTTTACACAGTTTTATCAAAGGAGACAGGATACGCACGTGACAGGCTGCGAATTGCCTTTACATGACATAACATATACCGCTATGATAAAACTCCCCCTTTAGTGAGACACACATCCTGTAGAAACCTTCAAAATCAATGCAAATTAAGCCAATTGTTAGGGATGCAATGAGGTTTTGTTTTCAATTTGACAGCTGCTCAGCTTCACTTTGTTTTGAAATTATCCAGGTCCCAGGCATTGTATTTCGTCTTACGGTGTATCTCCTTCATAGCCTTGAGAAAGATATTTGACACATTGACCAGTTTTGTCAACTGTGAAAATTCCTTTTTCCAAACATTACAATATTTTCTGCATGTAGTTATACTTTGAGTACTTATGTTGGTCATATAGGTCAATATTTTCATAATTGAAACCATGTGGTGCTTGGATATTTCAGGGATATCAAATCATGTACATAACCTGGGGGGGCACGGGTGTCCCAGTCATCTAAGGCGCCGCGATTCGCTGTGCAGAGTTGCGTCCTTTGGGCACGCCAGAAACCTATGATTGTTGGTTCGAATTTGGTTCGCCTCGATTATGTTTCTAGGTTTGTTAGCACCATACCCGTGCTCGTGGGTTTCACCGAAGTGGTAAACGTCTGAGACCTGCATCACTTCGGGCTTTCCTCCCATTAAGCTGACACACCGAGATATAACTGGAATACTGTTAAAAGCGGCGTTACTGTTTTTACTGCAGTTAAAACCAATTGATGCATATCATTCTTAGCGTTGGGCTTAGATCAGAAAAGGTTGTGAATGACCTATGAGAAAGTTCAGGTTCACAGTGAAGATCATGCATAAAGTATGTTTACCATTTCCACTTGAATTTCCTTTCCTACTCATATTATGAAAGGTTGAAGGCTGTGCTTTTTCCCTGCTATGTTCAATTCAAAGAAGGGACATCATTTGGTTTATGTGCTGTTTAGAAATTTGAAATATTCTTCACTAACATTTAAGTTCAAATTCACTATCAAGTTCATACACCCCAAAATGAGTTATGTTTTTGATAACACAGTAAGTGTTCACTGTAATAGGAAAACATTTTGTACATATCCAAATTTTCTGTTTGAAAGAGCGTCCCCAGGACCCTTTGCTTGTTGTAAAAGATGACTTAATGTATTGGGTGGTCAAACCCGGTGACTTGGTTGTACGCTTAAGGTCTAGTCAAGACAAGGTATCTACAGACCGCCATCAATAGTTGGAATATTGCTGAAGGCAGTGTACAACAAACCAACAAATATGCTGAAATATCATTGGTGATATTTGGCATATATTTTTCTCTCCTTATGATGATATCATGCATTGTAAAGATCATTGGGATTTTATTGTATGTTGAACCTTTGTTTTTATGCTGAAAATTTTGAATGTGAATGCTGACAGCAGCTTTTGTTAGTTGCTGTGTTTGGTGATATTTTGTGGCATGTCTAAGGTAGCTACGGTATATATATATATATATATATCCCCCCCTCCCCGTTTTAGGAAATTGAGGGGATATAGCAATCAGCATGTACAGCCAGCTGTCTATCTGTCCATTTTCCGTTTCCGGAGCACATCTCGTAAATTGTTGAATGTTTCTTGATGACCAGATAAGTCTTCTGTTATGGCAGATGATTGGCAGTTATGTACTTTTTATTACCTTTTTTTTTCATGATGGAAAGTTGTACTTACACTGAAAATAAGGGTAGTGCTCATATCCATAGCAGAACTCCCAAACAGTTGAATATTTCTTGTTATCTCCCGATTACTTTACAAAACTTGGTACACATTCAGCATGTGTTGTAGATGTGTCTTTTGCTATTTATGATTCCCCCAAATTTTTCTTTCATTTTACATTTCATTACAACCTCCACAATCACTCTGTCGTCTGTTGTGACAGCAATTGTTGGGGCAGTAAAAACCAAGACAACAACTGATTGTTGATGTTTCCTGCCATGCTACATGATCTTCTGCGAGCGCCAGCTGACAGGAGCAGATTTGCTGGTGGTGATCAAGGCGCTGGCCAAGAGACCAGAGCAGACTTGTCAGTCCATGGCGCAGGCCTACATGGTCTCCAATGAGCGCCGACTGGAGTGGGAATGCTGGTGTCTCACGGTGCTGGCTCGAACATGATTGTTGGTGGAGGTTCTGGCTCGAGCATGACCATGTGGTAGAGCCGCTGTCTGGAGCACAGTTCCAGGGTGCCAACTGTAGCAGTCAGAGAAGGCGCCGATTGCACCGATCAGAGCACTCGATGGACCATGAGCGCTGACCAGGGCACAGGGTGAACTCCTTACTCTGATTTATGTAATGGCATAGGCCACAACACCAACTTTGACAGCCAAAACAGCGCTGGACGGGCAACAGGGGCTTTGTCAATAACAGGCGCATACCCTACAAAGCAGCTAGTGCACGGTTCAACCATTTACAGGACATAGGTGCTGGTGTTTATCAGAATCTACTGCATCTCTGGATGGGGTCCCTGGATTGGGCAGCATCAACTGGATATTCTGATAGCCATGCGTCATAGCGCCAAAGCATCTCCTAGATGCCCTCGCGATAGTTGGATTCCACACTGAAGTATAGGTCGTTTGATTAATTAGATCGAGATTTCCTCAGCGAAGGTGGCTCCAGCCAAGGCTGTCTGCCACCCATGTAAAAATCAATCTCCCATCTGACTTCTGACCTGAGCTGCTATGGCTATTATAAGCAGTCACTACAGGTTCATCCACAGGCTGGATTCATCTCTGCGTCGACTTGGATGTGTTTTTGTGGCAGTAGCCTCTCCATCGGTGGCTACTCCACAGGCAACTTTTAGGTACTTAGTTCCAGTGACTGCTACGCTTCCCACGGCTATCTGGATACACGGTGACATCTGTGCCTCTAGTGGCGCTTTCGAAGGCGCTGCTTCAACTAGTGATGACATCTAGAGGCGAGGATATACTCCCAACCATTGTGGCATTTATGCTTTTGGCATCTCTTACAACTTAAGACAACAATGAGGACTGCACATGATTCCAGAGGCATCAATGTGCTCTTTGAATGCATCCCCCGTGATTTACAGTCAGAAACTAGGCGACAACTTATATAATACTATGTGACTAGTTACAACTACTGCACTTTTGGGATCTACCGTCGCCCATGGTTACAGACATATTGTCTGTTATTGTTGGCAAATTCTAATTGGCGGCTGCCATTGACTACAACTTCTTTCGGCGGCCAGAGGTTCCTGAAGAGCAGCTCAAACCAGGAAGCTCTAAAGGAGATTTGACTTGGAGGCGACCCTGTCTTGTTACAACTTAGGCTGATTTCTTCAAGACTGATCATACAATCTTGTTCGTTCAATGCAGTCATCAATGTACTAGGGGACAGCGCATCAACAGTCAAGAATTGTCTGGCAGTACCCTATAGCTACCTCTTTATTTTAGGGAAACTTCACAAGGGAGATCATAAATATATGTCTCTCCAACCTAAGTGTGGTCGTCATGTGGGATGCGAGACCTGTTCCCTGCAGAAATTAGGTGGCGACTGATAACTGAAAATGAAGTAAGGACTTATCCTGCATTTGAGACAAGTTTGATACTGACAAGTTTGTACACCGCCGTCAACGGGAACAAAAGGCCTTGTTCCAGAATACCACTCAGTTTTCGTGCACGCAGAACAGCTGTTCAGTGCGTTGCCAGATATTTCCCTTGTGTCACATGTGGCTCAAAAAATATTCTGAGGGATTGTTAGGCTTGGGTTGTTATCCACTACATCCTTTAGTTCCGATCTTCTTGGTGTCATGTATCAGAAGCCTCACAGGTTCACAGACTTGGTGCACTTGCTTATATGTTAGATTAAGAATATGACAGGTGATACAGGATTTGTGTCGAGAGCACTTTGTTGCGCTTTTGCCTAATCCCGACATAATCTGGATGGTCCCCCACACCACAAGCTCAAGCACTGTTCAATGCGTTGCCAGATATTTACCATGTGTCACATGTGGCTCAATAAATATTTTGAGGGATTGTTGGGCTTGGGTTATGGACTACATCCCCTGAATCTGATACTCCGGGCGTTAGAGTACGGATGTAAGGAAGTGATCGGCGTTATGGGGTAAGTGAAGAGGGCGCCCCGCAAAGCATAGCCTTATCCAGACGTAATCTGGGTGGTTACCAACACCGCAAGCTCCAGACCCCACCAACATCTGTTGGATAAGCATTGCAATGTGTTTTAAGGATAATTTGATTATTCAGGATATTAGTTTACTTTTCCTGATACAACAAGACTCATGCCCTCTCGTCCGTACCCTGTCTGACGTCCAAGCGAAGCGCTGAGGAGAAGACAGTGAAGGGATCAAGGACAGATAACTCCTGTTGGTAACCAAAAATTGGGTGTGCCACAGATGAGGAAGAGGCATGTTTTGGGTTCTGTGTTATAGGTTCAAAGTCCAGAAGGAAATTGCAAAGTGTTGTGTCAAGATAAGTATACTAATATTATGAATTATCAAATTCATGTAGTTTTTATAAATGGTAATTAAAAAATCTTCTCATTGTTTGATGCCTACAATATGGCAGGTGTAATGTTTTGGAGAAGATTACTTTATTGTAACAGTACTCAATTCCAAAATCAGTGAGTTATCTCAATTCGCATCGCATTAGCCATGCAAACCATAAAAATGTCTCATTTATTGCCTTTGCAAGTTTTTTAAGTAATCTATTGAGAAAACCTCTTGTCGCTTTCCTCACATATTCCTTCTTGGGGCCTCATTTGAAACTAAATGACATAATCCAAGTTCTCAGTGACAGTACAATGCAATCTTTTTGCCATACAATTCTTCCGCTTCCACATCCATTTAAGAAGTACCAATACACAGTAAAGACCTGGTGTGTTCAAATATATCTATCTTGAACCGTAAATTTTAGGGTAGAAATGATACATCAGTCCACTGGTGCATCGTGAGTTTTCATGTCTCGATACAAGTCAATACACTTGCTAAATAAATTACTTATTACTTGTATGATGACTCCCGCCCCAATGTTTTTTTGTCAGTCAAATATTGCAATTTGTGTTGTAATTAGCTTTTCAAGTTTAATACTAAACTTAGCCGTAATGATCATGTGTCTGCAGCTAACCTTTCCTTTGGAACCTGCTCTGAAATATTTATTGTCATGACATTGCCACGTGATTTGATGTAAGCCTATGTATTGTGATATGTATGGTATCGTGACCTTGCTGTATCATTTCACCCCTAATAAATTTCATGTCGGAGATCACAAAGAAACTGTGGTCACTTTTGTGGTCACTTTTCAATATCTCTTTCATTCTTGATTGACATTCTCTTTACATGCCATGGTGATGGTCTTTATGTCCTTGTGCTATGAAACACTTCTTGCTCTTGTAGTATTAACAAGCTTGTAGATTTGCTGAGCAAGTCACCTTTCTTTCTGTATGGTTTGCAGTGTTTTGATTTGGAACTTTTCCTCAATAATCTCTGACAACGAATTTCAAATTATTACTTTCATTTTTTAAAAATCAAAATATTGCATATTGGGTAAGTGAATACTCTGGGTTTTTTTAAACAGTATTTAGTTGCTTTCTTTCCCAAATCATTTGTTAAGAATAATATCTTCTAGCTCATTTTGGCCAAAGGCTGATACGAGTTTATATGTAGTCCCATGTATCCATCTTTGGTTTGTAAGCCACCCAAGCAGATTATGTTTTGCATCTGGTACTATTGTACTATCAAGGGAGCTGTCATGGTCCTCCTAACAATGTTACCTAACACTTGGTGTTTGACAGTTGGCAAAGTAGATAACCTAAAGGGCACTTTTTGTCACTGGCGCAGGTGAACTTGTGTTTATGCAAACAAGGAACAACAAATGGTTTCCTTAGATCATGTTGATGTTGGGACAACAACAGAAGTTTTTATAAAAAGAATTTTAAATGATATTTATCATCACCTATATCCCGATAACAGTGGCTTTCCGTTCAGTAAGGAGAGAAAATCCTAGGAAATACCTCCGCTTTTGGAGCTTTGTATGAATAAAGTGTAAAGATTCCTTCAATGTTTGGTACGTTCGAAAGCTCTGAACATAATATTACAGCAATCTTGCCAGGGGTATATTTTTAAACTTATCCTATCTCACTATGCATTTCATCCTCCTTCCGATCCTTGTGTGGTGGGCGGTCGCGTAGCCTAGTGGTTAAAGCCTTCGTTCGTCACGCCTGAGACCCGGGTTCGATTCCTGACATGGGTACAATGTGTGAAGCCCATTTCTGGTGTCCCCCGCCGTGATATTGCTGGAATATTGCTAAAAGCGGCGTAAAACCATACTCACTCACTCAGTCACTAAGCTCCTTTTTGCCCAAACACCCCTTGCATCACCATGACGACCACCTCTAACAATCAGGTCACGCAACGAATCTCAGCCTGCTGTACATGATCTGGTCACCTGACACCCTCGGCCTCATCACTCTCTTTCTCTTCACCTTCCTGTGGAGATGTGTTATATTTTTGAGAGAATATTTAGGCCTTTTCTTTCCCAAAACTGACGGTGCTTCTTGCATCAAAATGGGCACAGATCAACCAAAACGTCCAGCCTGTAAGAAGTGACGCCATCTATTTTCACCGGTGGATTCATACAAATATAGTTGTGGCTGTCATGAAAGGGGGGTCTGCAAACCATGTTTCCGTTGTACAGAATGTTACCATCTTTCGAAAGAGGCGTTTACAGAATAAATACGAGGTGAGGTGACCACAGATGAACAGTATTGTGTAGCCTATGCTTTGTTTAGCAAGTTCCAATTGCTTGAATTAAGTGACATTCATGCAGTGTTCCCTCGTTATTGCGCCCTTCAATATAGTGCTAACTCGGTTATAGTGCGCCGTAAAGCATGGCCCCCAAAATTTACTAACATTTTCAATAAACTCAAGTTTTCCAATGACGCGATGTTTTCCCCCATCTCAGAAAACATTATCAGCTGATCACCGCAATCACGTAACACCGGAAATACCAGTCAACAAATCCGAACTGAAGTACGTAATTTGATCCTATTTCTATAATATCTGGTAATAAAAAAAATGTTCATTGTTTATCTGGACTAATGTTTGCAAAAAAATTTATAATTATATTCAAAATTTCATTCAATAATTATAAAAATGTTGACAATAATTTCGGCAAAATCATATGCGAAGTGATCGGTAGGCTAGATCGCAACTCACCATTATTTACAGCAACCACAGTCAGATTACCACTATTGACGCCTTGAAACAAACTTTAGTTGCAAGAGAATGGATACACATATCATAAATGCTGTACCATGACTCGCTAAAAGTCATATTTGAGGCAGTTTGACTATTAAACGTTTTAACAATTGAAATACATGTGGCGCGGGAAGTCCCTTCGGTGACTTGTCAAAATCGTTCCATACGTCAGAAAATATCCTGCATACAATCTGTACCGAAGTGCTACGCTTGTGGTTCTTATAATTTTAAGTATATAATTTGGAAGCTGCAACTAAAATAACACAATATTGGAATATATTATTCCTGATAAAATAATAATTTCAGATACAATTTCTTCCGACCATTGCATCAGATTTCTTTAAAGTTGTATCACTGGGTACGTTTTAACTGAATCACTGGTAGATTGGGAGGAAATTTGTGCACAGCTGATTGCTATTTCCGACTTAGTTTACAAGAAAATACAAACGGTAATCTTAATCTCTGCATATAAAAACAATGTCTTTGAGAGCAGGAAATACATTTTAAATGGTAAATCATCATGTCTAGTGATATCTTGTTTTATATCAAATTTCATACCTTTATTGACCAAGTTTGTTATAGATCTACCTGCTTATTCACCTGAAGGGACACATGTGTTTTGGTTTTTTAAACCGCAGATTAATACTCGATCAGTTCTTTTTTTACACTATGAATCATAAATAACTTCTGAAACGTGCAAGGTAGATAGTGTTAGGCAGGCAGAGCATGTATACTGTTTTATTGGTCATCTACCACCTACGACTTGACCTTTGTTAAACCGCAATTATTTGGACCCCGAAGGTAGCGTTGTAGCAAGGGATCACTGTATTTCATGTGATAATGAGCTATGATTTGAACAGAGTGCGAAATCTTGAATAAGAACCAAGATGGCGGGTGTCACTCCTTGTCTATATGTATATAGAGGGGTGTGATTTTTTTCTATACGAATATATTATGTTATACACGCTTTCATCAAGTTCCTGTAGGACAATCATGCAAAATGAACAGAAATTCAAGTAACTTCTGTTTTCTTTGAAAAGTTCTCTTTTCTTTGGCAAATCCAAAGGGCACACCTAAACATTCTCCTGATTGCCCTGTGGCACACTTGACAAAACTACATTTCTATCCCTGAAGTAGATTGCTGAAGAGTTCACTCATGAACTTTCTATGGTATCTGACCTCGCGTTCGCTCAGTCAGATACCATAGAAAGTCCACTCGTTTCGTAAAAATGGTATCTAACGAAAATGAGTGTGGTATTCTCTATATATTGTTCAATGACAAAAATTATCTAGAACTCTATGGTTACACTACAAATCACTAATGTTGGCATTTCTTTCTGACAATGCACCCATTCCTTCTGATTTTTCATATGGTTGAATAAAGATATAACTTAATTCAACTTCAGTGTATGAATGACCAGTTTGTTTAATTCATGTATCTAAGTACATTTGCCAGGGCTATGCAAAAATGTTCCCAATGGGACATGTTGAGGAGATGTCTCCTGAGCCCTACAGTGGGTACCCGGGTAGGGTCGGGTAATGGGGGGGGGGTTACCCGGGTCGAAAAATTTGGACTCGCCCAGCCCTACTGCATATTACATTCTGCTGACTTTGGATGTATCTGAAGAATGAGAGTACCTTGGTACCAATGTTCTGTGTCTGTGACCATGAGTTGGTGGGTCCTTCTTTTCCTTCTATTGCTTACACTGTTGAGCTATGTTCAATTTTGTAAATGAATTAATTGAAACAAAACTCCGGCAAGTGTCTGTCTGGTGAGCTACAGAACCTTATAAAATCAATAATTCATTGTTGTATTTTGCTTAAGTTTTTCTGAAAAAAAAGATTTTGTTGAATGTTTGTTAATCATACAGACAAAATTTAAAATTGGTTAATATGTGACTAATCTCAATGTTGAAATGCTGATACATTGTATACAGTCCAATGCTTTATCCATGTATGACAAAATAATGCTTGAAGATGCATCATTCATTTTATGTGAGTGATATAAATATTTTGAGTGTACCTGACTAATAGTGGTGTTTTCTTTCACACTATCCTCTCCTTCCCTCCCAGCAATGGATGTAGTAGGGCCATGTAAGTAAACTTTCTCATTACACTTCCTCAATAGTTGGTTCTTTTTTAGTTTTCTTGCTAGCAAGCTTTTTTCTTTCATTTTGCAGGTGAGTGCTTTCTTTGAGGTTGCAATTTTTGATGGTCAAAATTATCCATTATTGGAGTAAAAACTAATACATGTATGTAGCAAACTCTTACCTGCACTGATGGAATAATGAGAAAAAAGGCCATGATGGTCAGTTTGCTTTTGCTTCTTTTTTTAACCATGAATGGTTGTTCAATGCAATGATGCTGGTATGCACCTAATATTTGCCAGCTGCCAAGCTATGCAGTTCTTGTCAATGCTTCTAGTAGCATTCACAACAATTTATAGGTGAAACAATAGCTCTGCTGGCAGGAGGAGGCTATGTTTTGATTTCTTACTAATAGAGCATCTAACTCACACCTTGCTTGGCCTTGCTTTCCAGGTTTCACATTTAAAGGTCAATCTCACCTAAAAGCACATTATTAGTTATGGTGTCTTTACTTGCCATATATGGTGTCATATTAGGTTAGCAGAAGAATCGCCTTGCCCAATATTTTTTCTGCTAAACTCATATGACACTGTATACAGCAACTAAAGACACCATAACAAATTTATTATGATGACAAGTTTACACTATCTAGTATCTTTGCACATGTCATGTCGAAATGAAAACTTGAAAACTTGACACTTACGAAACAGTATGTACACAACAGGGCCAGTACATATGTTTCCTATACAATGCTTTAATGTAAACATTAACATTAACAATGGAATGTATGTACTAAGTGTGAATGTTTAAAGTATTATAGCTAAATTGGATAGAACTACCATAAAAATGCCTGCATGTTATCAGAAATCTGCAGGCCACTGAAACTTCACAGCAACTCACTTTCCGCTAACGATGGGTTGCTGTCTGTCATTGGAGTCTCGTTTCTTGTTTGTGACGTTATCCAGTATTATTGTTCTACGACGTTACTATTTGTAACTCAGTGACCTCAGTTGTAAGCTTTTTTTCTCTATAATTTTTATTATTAAAGTCATGAAGGTGGTTTCTTTAAAAATTAATGTCTTTGCGCATCACAATTAATGATATTAAATAACAAAACAACGTCGAATAAAGATTTTCCATACCAGAATTTTCATGTGAAAAATGTGAGGTGGTACGTGTTCTAAAATCCGAAATGTCTGTTACTGACAGTATACGGTCTCATATTAGGTTAGTATTTCTGCTCTCTGATTGGTCAATCTCACTTTGAGGCATAATAATATGTTTCATGAGGTGTTTGCCTTTCATGTATGAATGGCAATTTAAAGCACAGTGGTTCCTTACTTGTCTTAGTTTTGAAACTCCTGTGGCCTGTGGAGGTGTATGGGTCATTTCAACATTTGCAAGGTATTTCATGCCCACAAACTTAAAAGTGTTCCTCTAATTCAAGGTCACAAAATCAAAACACAATATGTTGTATTGTTGATATGGAAAGGTTGGAAATTTATTATATGATATTGCTTTTGTGGGCATTTGAAAATGTAAAATGCAAACACTACTATTATTCAGGTTGTAACATAAGGAATTTTAGAATTAATTTACAGTCAAAATGTGCTTCCTAGTGTTAATAGCATTGTTTGTGAAGTGATTTGTATAAAAAATGTACCAAGAAGGAAAATATGTATTTATAACATTTTTAGATAGGATTTAAAGCGAAAGCACAGGTCTTTGTTAGACTAATCTAGATTTTTTGTGGCCAATTTCTTTGATTGCACATATACTCTGCAAAAGAAGAAACGCAAAAGTAGTAAAATCTTAAATATCTGACAGAATGTTGCTGATATCCATACAAAATGTATACCAAAAATGAAATTGTCATTTCTGCATGGATTGGGATTGATTTGTGTGGAAAAATCGTAGTGCATAAATTTGGTAAAAAGATGGAAAATTGCAAAAACACAACCATGTGAGAGTCCGAAACACACAAACACCACATGCACGTGCAGCATCACTTATTGGGCCATAAAAACGTGGGGGTTTCAGTTGCATGCCATCAAAATCTTACAGCATTGAACAGTGAAAACATGCCACCTCTAATGGAAGCCCAACACAACTACGCCATTGGCCAACTGCATACAGGCAAAACATCTTTGGCCTTAGCCAGGTTTTTGCCATGCCACACCAAGCAACATAACAAGTCTCGGGACACAAGGGGACCTTCCTAGATCCAGTCAACCATTTATCACTACCAGAGCACAAGACAGATTCATATGGCTACATCTCTTACGCAGTGTTCGTTCTAGGCTGGGCCTTGCTCAATTGGAGCACTTAAGTTTCATATAGCGCATTGTAAAAGTACAGGCTGCTCGATAACTTCCATGGGACAAAGTTGAAAGTCAGTTTTGGAAGTGTTATGGTGGCCATACAAGATATTGATATATGGAACCTTGGTCAATGAGAATGATGTTTGCCAATTTTGAACAATCGATTACCATTTGTTGATTATTTACATGATATATAAAATATACATCTAAAATCACTTTTGTGTTTCTATTTTTGCAGAGTATAATTACATACTTTTCCAGATAATAACAAATAAAAGGACTTGTAAATAGAAAATTTAAGTATTTACTCAACTTCAAACTGATAAAAGTAGTGATAATTAGACATTTTGATATGATTTACCAGAAACCATGTTTCAACTAGTCTACAATAAACGAACACATAAAAGTAGGACTGGAACGGGGGACTTGAGGACTTGGGTAGGGTGGGTCCTGAGTTGGCCCCGGGTACCCATAGGACTTCCCAGACCAGTATGTAGTCATATATTGCTAGGGCGGTCGGGTAGCCTAGTGGTTAAAGCATTCGCTCGTCACGCCGAAGACCCGGGTTCGATTCCCGACATGGGTACAATGTGTGAAGCCCATTTCTGGTGTCACCCGCCATGATTTTGCTGGAATATTGCTAAAAGCGGCGTAAAACCAAACTCATTCACTCATATATTGCTAAAAGAAAGAGTATTAATATGTTTAGATAGTACCTGAATATGTTAGACCGCCTCTGTGGTCTAGTGGTATAGCGTCTGCCCGGAGAGCGGAAGGTCCTTGGTTCGATCCCCAGCCGCGTCATACCAAAAGACATTAAAAGATGGTACTTTTTGTTACCCTGTCTGGCGCTCAGCATTAAGGGGCTAAAACAAGGACTGGTCGGCTCGGAGTCAGTATACTGTGTCTGAATGGGGTATTCATGTTAAACTGCGGCATGGTATCTCAGTGTGCTAGCACTATACATTGTCATCAGTACGGACTAGTACAAGCAGCCACGCACACATGCACGTCGCAATATAAGTGCAATGTTCTTGGACGTGATGTTAAACCCAATTTCACCTCACCTCAATATGTTATGTTTACCCTTATGCATGTCAATGTTCAATGATTAGGCATAAACCTGATTTTCTCACCAATGACCTGAAATAGATGTCAGTGCTATATCCTTACTGATATAAACTAAAACACATTAAGAAGTTATGATGAAAGTATAAATAACACTACGAAATCTGTCAGTGCTTCAGAAACATTAAAAGCCTTTAAATAATTCTATGGAACTGGGGAAAAAGCTGAATTGAGATAATTATGTTTGGGAGAAGGTGGCTGTTTCAAATGACATGGTCAGTTACCCCCAGATTCAAACATAAGTTCCCTGAGATTTGGAAGACACAGTTGGAAAAATGCTAGATCTAGAAATGAAACCCGAAGACATGGAAGTTGTGGAACTGAGGCGAGCGGGGGGAAAAAAAGGCCAGCGAGCCTGCACGTTCACTGTTTCATTCCTTCTCGGCCTTCAGTCTCAAAGAGTTGTTTGGACAATGAATATGCATGAATTTCACTTTATGTCCTGTGCATGACGATACACGTGAGCAGAAAGGGAATTCCCACGACTGTAATATTGGGATTCCCCGACATTCCGTTGCAATAAAAGTAGTCTGCCTCGGCGTTCAACAAACAAACTTTTAACAAGCTAAAATGGCTTCAAAGTAACATTGTTAGGTGCATAAAATGTTCATGAAATATTGACTTATTGTATATGCAGAGTTGGATTAAAATTCAAAAGTAAGAAACATTTTGGAATTGCGTAATAAATTAAATTGAAAAGTGTAACAAAATATCTTACAAATTTAGAAAATGACCCATATTTTGGTGTTGATTTTGCGAGAGCATTTTAATGCATGATCTATAATCTTCTGTCCTATCTCTAATCATATAACTTTTGTTCTTGTTTTGTGCGTTTTTCTCGCTATTGGTATGTTGGTGTTAACTTCAATTCCATAATTCACTTGAACCGAAGGTTTAATTGAGCATATGTCAATGTGAATTAGACATGAGGAAAGGAATATTAAGGTATAGACAATACTTGAATCATCAGTTTGTTCAAAATAAGTGCCTGCCTGAAGGGTGGCAGGTAGAACTCATGTCAGGCCCGAAGTGTCAAATTTGTATGGGTACTTATGAACTACAGTAAATTTACGTGTCAATTTCGATTGTCAGAACAAGCATCAGGTTTTTAGATGAGGGACTGAAGAGTTAAGTCAGGACCAGTAGCTCCCAAAGTTTGTGGGTCCTAATGGCAGCCTGGCAATTTTATCTCAAACACTGATTTCATTTATTCAGTCAAAACTACTTTAATTTCTTCAGTTGAATGGCCAGGTGATAACAAATTGGTTGAAGAAAATGTGAAATTTGTGATAGAACACCACAAGGGATGACTGGTTTTGTGACACCGATAATTCGATGATACCATTTCAATTGTCTCGTAAACTAAGCCAGAAAGAGCTCTCAGTTTTACACAATTCTCCAAATCTACTGTTGATTCAGTTATAAATCCTCAATAATTCTGTCTGTACCAAAAACATTGGAGTTCACCAGGCCGAACTTGGCTCTTTGCATAATTTTAGTTACATCTTAGTGTTATCATGTGGTCCATTAGTAGCTGAGCTGAGTCTTCTGACTTATT